TGGGGGGGGACTGCACAGGAGGTAGCCAATCAATGATTCCCTTTCATCATTGATATTTCTGTCTCCCTCTCCCTCCCTCTGAAATCAATAAAATATTTTTTTAAATCCTACTTGAGAAATGTCAGGTTTTTCACATGTAAAACTTTGTGCCTAATACAGTATCTGGCACATTACATACTCAATAAATATGTATTCAACCGAACCAAAGAAGGCAAGAGAGATTTTTCCTGCACTGTGGAACTGCAGTTAGGTTGATGTCATGCCCAAGCACTTGGCCAAGGCAAGAGTGTAGGATATAGGAAAGAGAAAAATCATGTCAGATTACATGGGCCCATGACGAAAATCCAAAAATAAAAAAACAAAAAGTGAAAACTAATCAAATATTCAAAATTGCCACATATTGATGCAGTAATGAAATGAATAATCTAGAGAGGCCTATACTAATCAGTCCTCTCACACAAACTTCTAGGAGGTGGAGATGGTACTGTACATAGGATTCTGTACTACTACACACTACCAATAGCTAATAGTTATTAGCAACCAGCTAACAACTCAAATATAATATTGGAATTTTCTCCTTAAATTGAAAAATACACTTCAGAAATATAGCCAGATCATATAAGGCAGTATTTTTCAAAGTGTGGTCCACAAACCATATCTGTTAGAAACCCTTATTTCATTTATTAAAATATACATTTATATATGCCACCTAAGACCTATAAAATCAGAATGGGTAAGTGGAAAAGGGCAAGTGGAGCGCTGGAATACACTTTCTAACAAGTTCTTAGGTGATGCACACTAAAGTTTAAGGCCTTTGATATAATATCTATAATTATATGCATTACTAAGGGAGAGTGTTTCTTTTTCACTCCTAACTTTCCACTCTTCCCACTATTTCCTTATTTTCTAAAGAATGTTTCCATACTCTTACCTTCACTAATTAGCCATTTTTCCTACTTCCAATAAAGTATTTGGAAGATTCCTTCCCATTCTCTTATACATAGCCCACCCACAAACTACAATACATCTTTTTCTGTTTTGGGAATAATCTACTATGTTGTGTATATAAAATAAATTCTGACTTAAGTAAATATCAAATCAATTTGGTAACCAATAACCATTTCATTTTTAATTCAAGTCTATTTGAATCTAGAAATTCAATAATGTTAAACAATATTACTCAAAGAAGATAAACCATATTTGATTTCTACTCATTGACAATACCTTGCCTACTTGAGTAGTTTCTTTCAAGGTCATGTTGTAAGAGTCGACCAGGGAATGATGGTGTTTCTTTATTTAGCCTTAATTCAACCTAAAAAACATTTTTTTAAAAATTGGGTAAGAACTTAACAGTAAGTAATGAAGATAAGTACAAAATAACATATAGTAAGTGGCACATACTACAACATACAGATGAACCTTGAAAACATTATGCTAAGTGAAAGAATCAAAACACAAAATGCCAAAAATTGTATAATTCCATTTATGAATAATTGAGAATAAGAAAACCGATAGAAGTCACAGTAAGGGACTTTAACACCCTGGCAATACTGGATAGATCTTCCAGACAAAAAAAACAACAAGGAAACACAGACTTTAAATAACACACAAGATCAGGTGGATTTTATTGACACTTACAGAACATTTGACCCTAAAACTGTAGAATATACATTCTTCTCAATTACACATGGGTCATTCTCAAAGATAGACCATATGTTAGGACACAAAATAAGTCTCTACTAGTTCAAAAGGACTGAAATCATATCAAGCATCTTCTCTGATCACCATGGCATGAAATTAGAAATCAACCACAATAAAAACACTAAAAAACATTCAAACACATAGAGACTAAATAGTATGTTATTAAACAATGAATGAGTTACCAATGAACTCAACTAAGAAATAAAACACTTAATGGAAACAGCCATGGCATGGCATGAAATTAGAAATCAACCACAATAAAAACACTAAAAAACATTCAAACACATAGAGACTAAATAGTATGTTATTAAACAATGAATGAGTTACCAATGAACTCTACTTAAGAAATAAAACACTTAATGGAAACAGCCATGGCTGGTTTTGCTCAGTGGTTAACATGTCAGTCAGTCCCTGACAGAAAGGTGGTGGGTTGGATTCCAGATCAACAGCATGTTACTGGATTACAGTTTTGATCCCAGGCCTCATTCAGGAAGCTTAAGGGAGGCAGCCAGTGGATGTATCTCTATCACATCAATGTTCTTCTCTCTCCCTCTCCCTCTCCCTCTCCCTCTCCCTGTCCCTCTTCCCCTCCTCCCTCCCTTTCAACTCTCTAAAAATAAATGTAGAAGGAAGGAAGGAAGGAAGGAAGGAAGGAAGGAAGGAAGGAAGGAAGGAAGGAAGGAAGGAAGGAAGTTAGTTCATAGAAACAAAAATGAACACACAACAACTCAAAATCTATGGGACACAGCAAAAGCAGTCATGAGAGGGAAATTCCTAGCATTAAAGGCCTAACTCAAGAAACAAGAAAAGTTCTTTTAGAAAGAGAACAAGAAAAGCCCAAAGTAAGTAGAAAGAAGGAAATAATATTAGAGCAGACATAAATGACATAGAGACGAAAAAAAAAACACTACAAAAGGTAAATGAATCCAAGAGCTAGTACTTTGAAAAAGATAAACAAGATTGATGAGCCTTAAGTCAGACTCATCAAGGAGCAAACAGAGAGAATCCAAATTAATAAAATCAGAAACAAAAAGATGAGGTAACAACTGACACCACAAAAACATAAAGAATTGTAAGAAATACTATGAACAACTATATGTCAAACAAGCTGGAAAAACTAAACAAAATGGACAAATTCCTAGAAAAAATATAATCTTCCATAACTGAATCAGGAAGAATCAGAAAACCTAAATAAGCCAATAAAACTGATGAAATTGAAGCAGCAATCAAAAAAATGCCAGCAAACAAAAGCCCTAGTCTGGACAGCTTCACAGGGGAGTTTTACCAAACATTCAAAGAAGAACTAACACTTACCTTCCTCAAACTATTCCAAAGAATCCAAGAGGAAGAAACACTTCCAAGCTCTTTTAGGGGATCAGCATTATCTTAATTCCAAAACCAGATAAAGACAATACAAAGAAAGAGAATTACAGGCCAATTTTGCTGATGAACATAAATGCTAAAATCCTCAAGAAAGCATTAGCAAATTGGATCCAGCAATATATTAAAAAGATAATACATCATGACCAAGTGTGATTTATTCCAGGAATGCAAGGCTGGTAGAATACTCAAAAATCTATAAATGTGATACGTCACAAAAACAAATTGAAAGACAAAAACGACATGATCATATCAATAGATGCAAGAAAAAGCATTTAGCAAAATCCAAAACCCAACTTTATATATAAAAACCTAAGCAACCATTTGACCAGTAGCTATGAGGTGCACTGACCACCAGGAGGAAGACGCTCAATGCACAGGCATGAAAACATGGAACAGACTGATGAATCTCAGAGGGAAGTGGGGAGGGGCGAGGGCAGGAAGAGAGATTAACCAAAGACCTTATATGCAGCTGAAACTGGTTTGGCTCAGTGGATAGAGCGTCGGCCTGTGGACTGAAAGGTCCCAGGTTTAGTTCCGGTCGGG